ACTAAATAAGAAACTAGAAATAATTTCCAGGACTATCAAAAATAAAACATCAAATAATATCAAGAATCAAAGAATGCATGCAACAAAGTGAATTAATATTCACTTTAGTCTAACACTAATGATTATTCATTTGAAACTAGGCACACCTGTTTTGTATATAAAGCCAGCAAAGAAATGTTATAGCCCAGATCATACCATTTCTATAAACTAGAAAGTCAATGGCTAACCAATGTTAATTTATCAAGAGCCCTGAAGAAAAAGTAATAACACTAACAAAACTACTACTGCTGCTTATGCTATTTATGCTGCTGCTGCTTAGAGCAATGAAAAAAAAACCCTCAAAACCTGAACAAGAAATACACAGCAAAAGATTACACACAACTGAAACCTAATATTTTAAATACCACAAGTGACATTTAGCAACTATCCACAAATTTTCAAATTCTCTCCCAAACACTTGTTCACCAAATATCCTACAAAATTACAGAATGGTACATTAAGAGAAAAAAAAATGATTGTACACTTCCCTTATTCTCTTATACACTTTCACTTACAATTCCATCAACTCACATTTAGGCCACAAGAGAATGAATTTACTACACTTTCTTCAGACCAAAAAATAAAAATAGCATGGATAGTAAAAACAAATACAATTAAAAACAAAACCTGGCTAGCATAAACAGGATAACAGCATAAACCTTCCTGTGCCAATAACTCACACTTGGGTAAATCTATTAAACCCTACCATCCATATGACGCGAACTTGCCACCGTGAGCGGTTCAGCTGAAGACTAGGGTGACAGGAAGACTTGTCATGAGTGCACAAAGCTCTTGGAGGGTGATTTGATTCATTTAGCATTTAGGATGGGGCTTTTGCATTATCTCCTTTAATAAACAAGTTTGAAATGTAATGTCTGTGAGCCATGACTGGTAGAGTGCCAGCTCCAAGGAGGACACTATTTCCATGCTCTGAATACTATTCCTGGCTGCCATGAACAGTGGCACAGTTTGCCTTACAGACAATTGAATATTATTATTAAAGTTTTTAAAATAACACAAATAACAAAAAGTTACTTATTGTTATAATTATTATACTGAGTTATAGACTACCTTGAGAGATGTTATAGAGTCTATGCAAGGAAAACTGTATATTACCATCTGGATAACACAGATCAAATGATAAATTGGGACACTGCAAAATGGCATAAAAGCTAAAATTACTTAGGTTGAAAAAGAGAAAATAAGAGGAGACATGGAGTCTTGTCACCGCACATGAGTGTTCATTTGTGGCCAGCCTACAAGTCACACCTCGTCAGTGTCCACTCACATAAGCCCCATACCCATTGATGACCCAATGGGCAAGGGAACATCTCATCTCAAGTACATTTTTAAAGATAAACTTTGCTTGTATGAACTGCAAAGTATAAAGAAAACTACCAATTAGATCATTTTTTCTGTGATTATCACAGTTGCAAATAATGTTTTCTCTTTAACTATCGTTTTCATCATTATAGTTATTATCATTACCATTACAAGACTACAAATAATATCAGTGACAAAACTAAAAAGCTTTCTTCTTGAAAAAAATCATGTCAGTTTGGCCTAGCATTTGATTCTTAGCATGTCTGGAGCCCCCTATGCCAATAAAACAAGTCAATAATTTACATATAAGTACTCTCACATGCATCTATAGATTATATGATCAATTATCAAAAACAACAAAAATAAAAACAAGAAAATGTAGCAAAAGAACTCTGCTTCTGACACTGCATAAACTCATTTCAGCAAAGTCATCTTGCAACCAGTATCATCCTTCACAAATAGGTTGAAAGAGCACTGATTCTATATATGACTGTTCATTTCCATTCACACTTGAAACCTACTCAAGTCTGCAAAGATGTTCTTATTAACTTTAACTGTAAAAAAAATATATATATATATATATTTTCCTATTCACATTCATTTTCTTCCTATATACAGTTTACTCTGTATTATGATCTCCCTCTCAAAGGTCAAAATTTCAAGGCAATTTCTATTCCACCATTCTATAACATAAATATGATACTTGTTTATATATAACAAATCTGCACTCACCAATAAGTTCTAATTACCATAGAAAAAAAATAAATATAAACAAAGAGCCAAAAGATAGTTATCAAGAAAACTGTGAACCAATAATTCCCAACAGCAGTGCCCACAGTGGAGGCGTGTCTCTACACTGTCCTTGATAGCATATTTGTTTGGTTAGCTGGCTAAAGCTTTGTCCTTGCGGTACATGTGTGTGGAGGAGTCAGAAAACAATAACAAACATAAATTTACTTCCTTCTTTATATTGTTAAGAAGGAGGGAATGAGGGAAGGAGGGAAGGAAGGGAGATGAGGAGAGAGAAGAGAAGAGAAGAGAAGAGAAGAGAAAAGAAAAGAAGAGAAAAGAAGAGAAAAGAAGAGAAAAGAAGAGAAAAGAAGAGAAGAGAAGAGAAGAGAAGAGAAAAGAAAAGAAA